CCCCGGAAAAAAAAAAAAAAAAAAAAAAAGGCAAGCAAAATGAACAGACACCTCACAGAAGAAGTAAAAATAGCCAAGAAATACATGAAGAAATGCTTGACATTGCTGGCCATTAAAGAAATGCAAATTAAAACAACACTCAGACATTATCCCAGAAAGAATGGCCATTATCAAAAAAGCCAAATAATAACAAATACTGGTAAGGCTGCAGGGAAAAGGGGACCCTGGTGGGAATGTAAACTAGTACAACACTTTGGAAAACAGTATGGAGACTCCTCAAAAAGCTAAAACTAGAAATGCCTTTGACCCAACCATTCCCTTTCAGAGAATCTTCCCTAAAGAGTTAAAGGCATCATATCACTGTCATATAGACATACCCATGTTTATAACAGCACAATTCATAATAGCTAAATCAAGGAAATAGCCTATCTGTCCATCAACAAATGAATGGATAAAGAAAATGTGGTATTTACACACAAGAACGATAAACGAGTGATTTCTAGGAAAAGAGACGCACCCTAGTATGGCTTGTATCTAGATGACCCCCCAAAACCTCATGTGGTCATAGGTGGGGTTTTTCAGAGGTGGCTGGATCTAGGTATATGATGCTAGGATTAAGTGGGTGATGCTGGGACTAACTGTATAATGTTTTCTTTTTTTGGAGATGCCAGCTGAAGAAGCAGGCCTGCGATGCTTTAGGCTGTACTTGCTGTGAGATTCTGGTCAGAGCTCAGAAGACCAGAAATGCAGCAGATAAATACCAGATAAATGATCAGGAGGTTTCTGCTGGGAAGAAAAGACTGCACTGGCTGCTGGACTCCAGAGCACGTACGTTATCCTTTGGCAGAAATTTGTCTGCATTTTACTCATGTCCAGAGATTTTGCTTGAGACTGAAAAAAAAGGCAGCCAACTACCTAACCTTGTGGAAGAAATTTCAAGGCAGTCTAATAGCCAGATCTATGTTGAGAATCAAGAGCAAAAAGCCCAGAAGAACAATTTTAAATATTTTGAATTTGGCTAGAAAGGAAGCTCCAGTAAAGTTGTTCTGCAAAGATGGAGCAGAGAACTTGCTGAGAAGAAAGGTCAATAGAAAAGATGCCTGAGGATATCACAAGAACCAGCAGGTCTCTGCCCTTTGCAGTCTCAATACAGCAAAGGTAAAAAGACACTGCTTTGAGAATAGAGCACCAGAGTACCCCATGTTCCCAAATGGTAGTGATCTACGGAATTTGTTTCTTGAGATTGGGTTCAGAGTGCTCAGCAATGCAAGCACTTGGCCCCTACACCCAAGAAAGAAGGAAGCCTGGCTACTGCTCCAGTTGGCGGCACACTTTGGCAGCATCCGTGTGGTGCTGACTGTAGGCGCATGCAGAATGCAAGAGTTGTGGGGTCAGGAAGGCTTCTGCCCAGACTTCAGAAGAAGGCCTGGGAGGCCAGACAGGGTGCCCCTGAGAGGGCAGTGCATGAAGCTGTGAGTGTGAGGCTGAAGGTGCTGTGGAGACCCCAGGAGTTTGGAGAAGCCAGAAGTGTGGATCATCTGAGGAAAATCACAAGAACTGAGCAAAGCCAGCCCAAGAGAGAAGCGTAGGAGCTCAGCCACTGGCAGGGCTACACCAGTGGAGACACCCAAGCCCCTTGGAGTTTATGTACTGGATGATGGACGTGGAACTAGGCTATGTCATGTTTGCCCTGCTGGATTTCGGACTTGCTTTGTTCCCATTCCTTTCTACCTCTCCTTGTACTTTTTGGAATGGAAATTTCTATCTTATGCCATTGTATGGTGTAAGTGTTTAACTTTCATTTGTACAGGGTTTTACAGCCAAGAGTTTGCCTTAAATCTCAGAAGAGACTTTACACTTGGACTTTTCAACAATGCTGAAATTGTTAGGAATTTGGCAACTCTTAAAGATGAACTAAATGCCTTTATATAAAGGGATGTGCACACAAGTCTTTGTGGACCAAGGGTAGAACAATATGGCTTATACCTACATGTTCCCCCAAAGCCTCATGTGGTCATAGGTGAGGGTTTTCAGAGACGCTGAATCTAGGGTGTGTAATACTGGGATTAAGGGAGCCCCACCTTGGGTATAGGTGGCACCACCCAAAGGGTGGGTAGCCTGGATGGAATATTAAAAAGATTAGGTTTTTTTGTTGCTACTTGTTGCTTTGCTGCCTCCTGCCTGCTCTGTAATGCCCCTCCACTATACCACCCAGCACTGCAGCCAGCCACCTACAGACTAAAACCTCTACAAACCATGAGCTACAATAAATCTTTCCTCTTTTAATTTTGGGTGTTGGGTATTTTCTCTCAAACAAGAGAAAAGTAACTTAGTTAATACACTGAGACTAATGCTAAGTGAAATAAGACATACAAGCTTAAATACCACATGGCTTTTCTTATATGAGAAATCCAAAGTATAAATAAAGAGCAAAAAAGATAAATAATAGGAAATAAGGAGACAGATCCTTCTCAAATGGAAAGGGGATCAAGATATGGATACTTTAATAGGAGGAGGGAGGGACAGGGGATGAAAAAAGAATGTTCTGTACATGCACCAACTGCACAGAAGGAATGCAAACATTATATACTGCAAACATGCAGTAATAAAAAGGAAACATTTCACCCATAATTTGGGGCAGAGCTCACATAGTAGATTTCCTGTGCTTTTCCTTCTACTGCTAGAATGTAATGAATCCATAATGAACAAATCTGAGTAGGTTTCTATCTCTTAGTAACTAAGGTTTGATATTTCCAACCTACACACAATAAAAATCCTCACACCTGTCTCGGCAGCTTACAAAAAAAGAACTGCCAGTCATGTTAAGTTTCTACAAATAGCTTTTAACACAAACTACAAAAAAGTCAAAATGGGAGGAGGGGTAAGAAAGAGGAAGGAGATTTAAAAAAGAACAAGCTGTAATATTTATACTTAACCACTCTCCAAGAGTAGGTAAGCTGCCTAAATCGCAAACATGTACTAATACAATTGTAAAATTTTTTAAGTCAAAACATTTCAAATAGGGGCCAGGGATTTAGCTTAAGGGTTCTGCTGCCTGCCTCACAAGTACAAGGTCTGGAGTTCCATATCCACTAAAACAAAAAAAAAAAAAATTCAAATAATCTATATTTTAAATTATATAGCATCTATATCTAAAATTGCTAATTCTATACATGGTGAAAAAGGCCTATTGCTACTCTTAGGTTAGCAAAGCAGTTAGTTCAATTTCTTAAGCAAAAATAAGAAAAATGACCTGGTATTATCTTATTATTACTATTCTCTTCTAAAGCATGCCAAGGTTTGGAAGTTTTCTCTCCCTTAAAGTAAAATATCAGTTTATAATTTTATAAAGCAAAGTAATTTCATTAGACAAAAATGATTAACAGCCCATTAAAGTAGCACAATCTGAAAGTAAAAAGCCTAATTAATAAGAAAGTCTTACTAAAAAAATCTAGCATAAACTTCTAGAAAAAATATGGGGGCAAATAACTAGTAAAAGGCAGTCTCATTTGCTACATTCAGTTTTTGCTGCTATATTGTGGTATTAAGGTTTAAAGGAAAAAATATTTTTGTTCTAAAATTATCAGTTAAGGAAAATTAATGAAAATATGATATTTTGTATTTACATCAGGGGATGCTCACTTCTCAATGGCTTTTCATGAAAAAGAAGAAAACTGTCACCATTCATACCCGTTCTTTGTCTACAACAATGAACAGCTCCACGTATCGGGTCTGTGGCAGGATGGCTCTTCTTCTCTGTCAAATACACAACCACAGAAAAGCAAAAGTAAGTTGTAAGGCCCTTAATCTCTAACCAATTGATATCTCATGTCTGCTAAGGGCTATCTGACTTTGATCAAAAAAGCCAAAACCCTGTCTATTAAGGGTGTTAGCTAATCAGAGAAAACTTCTAGCTAAGAGTAAAATGGGCTATTCATCTTTTTAAAGCCCTAGAATTATTTATTTCTTTCTAAAATCAAAGCTACACACACACACACACACACACACACACACACACACACCTCCCTCAACACACACATATTTTAATGAGAAACCTCATTACCATATTGAGACAGGATTCAAAGAATGACACCCACTAATACTGAATAAAGAATATCCACTAATATTCAACAGTAGGGGAGAAGGTTGCCACTTTTAAAAATGACTAATTATGTCATTTTACAGAAATTCATACAAATACAGTAAGCAAAAATTTAAATGTTTTCCAATGTTTCAATTTAAAACAAGGAGGAAGGGGGCAGAGGGGAAGTCAGTAAAAAGAATTAAGATGTGTTGTGTACATATACCAACTTGCCGTCACAGATGTGATCATTATGTACTGCAAATGTACTGCAATAAATTTTTTTAGTTTAGAAAATAATAAACTGAACAGTCCAATAGACAAGAGTAAACAGCAGGCTATGCAATGAAAATAATGTCATAAGCTACTCTTAGTTAATTAAAAATATGCCTTAAACTAGGCACAGTGGTGCACACCTGTAGTCCCAGGGAGCCCAGGAATTTAGGGCCAGCCTGGGGAGAAAAAAAAAAAAGCTCTTCCCACACAGTAATTCCGTCTCACATATAAAAAACTTTATTTCTAGCAGCTAAGATTAATCCAGACCCAGCCCTACTTCTGCCTAAAGAACTCTAGTCAAAGTAAGTCATTGAGTCCTAAAGATATTTTAAAACAGAGACATGAATGTCCTTGGAAGACAGCTGAAGTCATTAATATCCTAAAGCCAAATCTCCTTCTGCTTCCCTGATCCAGAGCTCACAAATCACCACTGTGGCTTATTTATGTAAAAAGTATCTAAATAAAAACCCCACTGCTCTGAAAGTGAACTGGACAATTAAGTAGCAACTGTCAGTATGTTTACTGCCTAAAGTTTAAGTGTCATGCCTGGCCTGAAGGAGACCTTCACAGCAAACATGTCATGCTTTGGGGTGAGGGGTACTGGGGATCAAACTCGGGTCCTTGCACTTGGGAGGCAGGCGCTGGAGCCAAAACATGCCATCCTTTGCAAACAATAGGAAAAGGCCCATGCTACTCTCGGTAAACAGAACAGATGGTCACAAAGAAAATTTGGGACCAGATAGGCACATCTGCACTGACCACCCTTGGACTCTCAGTCATAAACATTCCTTATGCTCACAGCCCTTCCCAAGCCCTAGATAAACTAAGTTTTTTCCTCCCAGATAGCTGATTTCACCTACGATCCAGACAGAATAAACTCCACCTTCTCTCTCATAAAGCCTGCTTCCACGTGGCCAGTGTGTGCTGTTCATAAAGTGAAATTCTAGTTCCCAATGCCCACAAAACTTAAACTGTTCTCAAAATACATATTGCTTGTGTTTTTGTGCCCTTACTTCCTTTCACAATATCTGGCATGTAGTTGGAAGGAATAATAGTAAATATTATCTCAATGGATAAATACATGATTTTTTAAAGTTTTCACCAAAACCAGCCATCAAGAAGTGTATTTCTCCTTACTCGAAGTAGCTGAGTGATGCTTCGATGCTCTTCCTCTCCTCCCTCTGTGGTCTCTTTCTCTATATCCATGTTAGAAACTCCACATTTCAGAGGCTCTTTGTGGACGTCATCCATTCGATAAAAGATGTGCTCAAAGCGGGTGCTGTTGTGCAGGGGTTCGATCCCATAACTGGCATTCTCTAAATGTAGCAATCCTCTAAATAATGCATTACACATACATCATTTTTCAAGAAAAAATACATAGGAAAATATGAATTCAAGTTCTAGCTTTTTAACACGTATAAGAAGGCGCAAATGACATAAAGGGGAAAAAAGGCATTACAACAAAATAAAGGCTTTAGACTCAAGCAGACCTAAATTTACATTCAAAGCTGCTGCTTGGTAGCAGTTATTTAAAAGTTATTTAACATCTCTGAGCAACTGCTATAAATGAAAAGTCTGCAGAGAAATGCCTTAAGAGTGTGAAGTCTACAACCAAAGGATCAGAGTTCTGAATCCCAAACATGCTTTCTACTAGCAAGTCATTTAACCTCTGCCTTAGGTTACATTCTGCATAGGACTGTTCTGACAACTAAATTATTTAATGTGCATAAAATATTTAGAACATTCCCCAGCACACAGTAACTGTTCAGTGAGTAAATCACTCAAATGAAGATAAATAGTTGCTTTAAGAGTTAAAACTGTTCTTACTCTCTTATAACTTGGCATGAAAATTTGTTTTATTTTTTCATACAATAAAAAGAAAAACAAAGGTAAACAAAATGAAACAAAAGCAACAGCCTGTCAATGTCCTTGAAAAAAACCAAAAAGTGATTCTTACTTGTTTAACCACTCACTCACTCACTCAACAGCAGAGTACTGCATTGTCAAGCCTTCAATACAAGGAACTAACATTAGTATAACTTCATTTCATACATGATAGATTTTTCTAAACCTTCGTTTGCTCACCTAAATATGGTGATAATGAGCCTTTCCTGAGGCATTACGGGACTTAAATGAGATATTACAGGTGAAAATGTTATAAATAAAATGCTACAGATGTTTAAAGTATATTTTACTTCGAATAGCAAAAATTATTTAGTGATCTCAAAAGTGAAATTTGCTTTATAAGTATTAAAATCCATCTAAATTTTTTCTAAATAAACACACCAACCGTATCTGAAGCATAGCTATAAAGAACTTTAGTAACATCAAAATAAAACTGTTAAACCTTCAAAATGACTTGGCTTGGAGACAGAAAATAAAAAGGTGAGCAGTAGGAAAAAGAAAAAATAAAAAAACTGAGACAGAAAATTCCTTACCTGAGGCCAAAACAGTCACTCAGAGCAACAGATGAACTATAAACTCCCTCCACATAGCCCCGATAATGACAGTGATTCTAAATAAAAAACGCTGTATTAATTTCACATACTGCTACATTTAGAAATCATCGTAGAAACTGCATAGCTAACAAATTATTTGTGAACAGTAAACCAAAAGATTTAATTTATATTACTGGCATCTCAGAATGTCAGACAGTATTCTCCAGACCCCCTGTAGACTACCTACGTTCACCTCAAGTACACAAACTCACAGGCAGAATTCCAGCGGTTACTCAATACACACAGCTCTGTCCCAATGAACTCTCAACAAAGAAGCAGAACAGGACAATATGTTATGTCTAACATTTTAAATCATAGTCACTCCAAGGAGCATCAGCAGCCCGTAGACATGTAATTCAGAAGAGGATTTTGTGAGAAGATAATGAAGCCCCTACCCCCCAAAAATAATTCAGCATAAGGGGAAAAAGTTATCTGACCAGATGATTTTCTTTTCCTATTTAGGTGTATTATATTTTTACTAGTTGTAAATTTAGCCATCTTCAAAAATGTCAGAGGCTTTAATCTTTTGCACAAGAAATTTAACCAGTAGAAATGCAAAATTGGGCATGGTGGCATAAGCCTGTAACCCCAGCTACTCAGAAGGTTGAGGCAGAAAGATCACAAGTTAGGGATGTAGCTCGGTACTCCCCGGGATCAATTCCCAGTACTACATACATACATAAGTATCACTTAGCAATACCAAACTGTTTAGTACTTAGGGAGATTTTTCTCATTTTTAGAACAATTACAGAAGCTAGGGTCAGCTCAGTGGCAGAGCACTTGCCTAGCATGCCCAAGGCCCTGGGTTCAATCTACACCATTGGAAAAAAAAAATTTACAAAGCATTAAAATAGAAACGCCAAGGGTCAGAGGGGAACACTAGCTCCACCAAACCAAAACAAGGCCTTGATTATTAAAACAGTAGAGTACTGGAGAACTACTAAAGAGAACTGAACCAGTGGAACCAAAGAGAAAGTCTGCAAATAGACCACAAATACATATAGATATTTATGACAAAAGCGGCATCTCAAATCACAGGGGCAAAGATGTAAAAATAAATGCTGCTACCGATCCCCGGTACCAAAAAACAAAACAAAAATAAATGCTGCTAACTAGACATCAGAAAAGAATAAAATTATATCCCTAATTCACACCATGTAAAAGTATACTCGAGGGCTGGGGATTTAGCCCAGTGGTTCTGTCGCCTGCCTCACAAGCCCAAGGTCCCAAGTTCAATCCCCAGTAGCAAAAAAATATATATTTATTGAGCCTCCACATGGAAAGAAACATCCATAAAAGTCAAAAGACAACTGATTGTAACTTACCTGACAGGTAAAGGGTTGATAAATCGTTAAATATAAAGATATTTTAAACATTGAGGGGAAAAGAACAAAAGCCTAAGCCAGATCCTGGCACATGCCTACAATCCCAGCACTATGGGAGGCTGATATAGGAGGATTCTGGGTTCAAACCCACCCTGGGCAATTTAACAACTTAATGAGACTGTTTCAAAATAAAAAGTATTTTTTTAAAAGGGATGGGGATGTAGCTCAGTTCAAAGGCCCTAGTGTCAATCCCAATATGAGCAACAACAACAACAAAAAAAAATGTTTAAACTCAAAAGAAAACTGGGCAAAAGACATAAATAGACAATTCATACAATCAATGTATGTCATCTAAAAATGCTCTTACATGTATGAAAAGCTTTTCTATCTGACATGCTGACAAAGACAGTATCTCTGAATCCATGACAGAAACAGAGAAAATTCTTCCTTAGAGTAGAACTCGCTCTAACAGTGATGAAATTAGAAAACTATCATTTTGACAGCTGTCATAGCAACAACTGATTCAGACAAAAACTAAATACTGAAACTTAGTGGGTAAACTTTAGAAGAGGAACAGAACACCACACAGTCTCAAAATATCTACCCACAGTATTAATTTAAAAGGCAGAGATGGCAAATTTACAGCGGAGAAGCCCAACAGACCCTCCTGAACCAAATGGCCAGTGTGGACGTGGTCAAGCAGACTTCCTGGACAGCATGGGCTAACTGATCTGATACCCTGAGAACAACTAAGTCAGCTGGCACCCAGCATGTGATCCCTTCACCTGCCAGCCTGATGGCATTTGTTTCATAACCTGCTTTTATTAAATATTTCCACAGCATTCCATTTAGCTGTTTCAAAGTACCTGTCCCAGATCTGCCAAGAAGAACACAACTGCCTTCAGTCTTCTTGCTGAAATGTCATTAACCAGAGACAACTTGCATTTCAGGAAGGAAGTCTGAAGTCCATCAGAACACTTGGAAAGACTTTTGTCACACACCACTGTCCTCTGCTTCACTCCCACAGGCACAGTGACAAACCATGTTCCGCTCTTCGAGCCCAGCAAGTTCCCCTAAAAACTCATGTACTGTTTCCTCGACATTCCCCGTGCTATCCTCTTCTATAGAAAAAGGGCACAGGAGTCTAAATTACTGTTGAGCTGGTGGACACACACACTCCTGTGACCTCCTCCTGCAGTTTGACTGCGTGTTGATCAAGTTTTATGCCTTTTCGCCTACTTAAGAATTTTTCAACTTCTCCCAGGAAACTCTCAGAGGATGGAGAGAGGTTTCCCTTCACTTTATAGCTGTCAAAAACACAACAAATCCTGTTTTGTAAGTTTACGAAACATCTAGTGAAGCTCTAAGAGTACAATAAAGGTGCAACTGGCATAAATGGTTTTGGAAACACACAAAATGCAAGTAAAAATGTGTTGGTGGAAGCAAGAATACACAGAACCCACTGGCCACAAGGGTGTAGGAAGCCTTGAGTAATCAACATACTTTTAGAGGACACAATGCATCAATCAACTAGGAGAAATATTTATGAGACTATCTCGTGTATTTAGAAGATACTCTAAATTCCTAAGTTGGGAATTTGGAGGTCTATTTCGCATAACAACTTGTATTAAGTCACTTTTCTATAACTGTTTCTTATTAAAAATGGTGAAAGACACTGGTTTTTTGTTTGTTTGTTTTTTGGGTTTCTTTTTTCCTCATTGAGTTTACTGGTACATTTTAGGTATACAGTAGTTACATTCTTTTTTTGTTTGTTTGTTTTTTGGGTTTCTTTTTTCCTCATTGAGTTTACTGGTACATTTTAGGTATACAGTACAGTTACATTCATTATTGGGATCTTGTACCTTTACATGACAAGTCTTGGTTCTCATTTTTTCTCCTTATCCCTGCCCTCCCTTCACCCCCTCCTCCCTTCCCTATTTACAAACACTTTATTTCCATTTTTTCATTTTCTTACTTCTTTTCCTTTTCCCTTATTCCCTTTCCCCTACATCTTTATCCCTTTTCTTCCGATTGAAAGACACTGTTAACGAAAGCTAGAAAACAACTTTATAAGTTACTTCAAACATAAGCAATAGAATTCTGCTTGGGAAGACTGTTTTACTAGGAGAAAGCATTTACAATTTTTTCGGTGTAACTTAACTACATTTTATGGACAAAGCTATATATGTTGTTATGATATTTAACAATCTTGCAACGTGCAGAAAAATCTCATTATCAAAGTTTTCATTTGTATTTTAAATCTACATTCACACTTCTCTGAACAATATTAAAAACCCAAGAAGTAAATGGAAAACTGTGTTTCAGCGCATATTTTCAAACATCCAGAAAAAAGGAACAATTCTATTAAGAAGACAGTCACTTAAGTTTCTATAAAGGAAATCTATTTTTAGCATCTTAAATACATACCTTTTAACAATAACAAATATTAATTAATTTTTCAATTTTTCCAGAATGCCTGTTCTAAGCATCTCAGAGATATTAATGCCATGAAGTAATGCGCGTTATTTCCTTTGAGAGTGGTATATACTGAAGCAGCGAATGCATGAGAGGTAACTTCACCAGCAAATGTATCAGAGCCAAAATTCAAGCCCATTTTCTGTCTCAAAAAAAAGCTTGCCAAAATACCTTTATGAAAAACATAAAATGTGGGTAATTTTTTAATCTGGTTTACGCTATAGTATAAATTTAATCTCTTCTACTAATTTTAACTAAATAATGTACAAAGAGTTCACTAAGATAAATAAATCATACAGTGGGCCAAAAAAGGACAGGGCAAATCAGTATTTCCTTATTTTTAAAAAGTAACAAAAGTTAACCTAAAATAAAGATATTCCCTTCTATTTAGTTGTAGAATGCTATAAAAGTAAATAACTAGCTGGGCATGGGGGAGCACGCCTGTAATCCCAGCACTCAGGAGACTGAGGCAGGAGGATCGCTGTGAGTTGGAGACCAACCTGAGCTCTGCAGTGAGTTCAAGGCCAATCTGGACTATATAGGAATACCCATCTCATAAAACAAAAAAACATATGAATAACTAATATAAACAAGTCAACCCAGCAAAATATTAAAAATTTAGGGAAAAAAAACGACATTAATGAAAAAAAAAGATTTCTCATGAAAACTATTACAAAAGAAAAAAAAATGTATATTTTACCTAACTGCCAAAAAAGGACAGTAAAGCACTCTTCCCAAACAAAACTAGAAATGAAAAAATAAAACCTAAACTAAAAATGTTTATACTCTAAAAAATGTACAAAGCCTATTTTGACATCTAATAATTATGCTGAGTATTCCTGGCCACTTCTGTCCCAAAGAGTATTCTGTCATTTGAACCAAGGAAGACCACACATCTTTAGGAAAGAAGTGTTTTCATCAAAACATTACCACCCAAGACTACAACAGCAAGTGAACACCAAGAAAGAACCGTTTCACAGACTAATGGTGCTTTTTTAATATTAACTTTCAAGAACAACAAAAAAACTAGTTCCAAAATACCTCAAACTTTTCCTCTTCATAATCAATAAAGATTATCACTAAATAACAGCTTATTTTCCTGGAATCTAAGAAAAATACTATGCACCTGAAGAGCTGCCAGGCAGTCCATGGAAGGGCCCACCTCCTCCAGGGCCACTCACACACTGTAACGTCAGAAGTGTCCTGCTAGGGTTATGCGTGTATCAGGTCCGAATGCCTGACAAGTACTCACTCTAAAATACAACCAGCATACATTTGCTACAGAATCAAGAAGAAAATACGTTACCTGTATATTGGGATGGTCAGAGATCAGAGCCCCTTCTTTGCTATAGGTATAAACTACAAAATCTTTAGGCAAAAGGTCTCTGGAAAAGGAATAAAACACAAACCAATTATATTTATTTGAATTATCAACAACTAAAGCACACAATTTATAAGGCATAATTCCCAGACGAGCTGAACAGAAATAAATAAAAAATTTTACCCAATTCATCTTCATTTAAGGAATGAACTAAAAGTTCATAAACAGTCTTAAATCTGAAATAGTGTGCATTCCCTACTCATAAGTGATGTCAACCTACAATTTGTTCTAATGGCATAAAATGCTGGCTGTAAAAAACTTAAAGCAATATAAATAATGTTTCTTAAAACTTTACAACTCACAGGAAAAGAATAAACTACATTATTGATGGCACATCATATTTATAAAAGAAATATATGTTTGTACTCCTTTTTTAAAGTTCCATATAAACAAGGAGCATTCATTTCCTTAACCTCCTAAGTACTGAGGAAAAATCTTGTTTTCAGTTGTTGAAGGAAGCAACTATTTCTAATTCCCAGAGCTTTATTCCATGTTAAAGAGCTCTTTACAAGCCACATTTGCAAAGACAAGTTTCCCTCACTGAAGGAGTGGAGCAGCTCTCTGCTGGCCCCAGGCCTTATGGGCCAGTCATGAATATTAACATGCTAATTAAGTTCAAAAGGCAGGCTGGAGGTGAAGCGCAGAGGTAGAGCACTTAGCAGGTGAAAAGCCCTGAGTTCCATCCTCAGCAAAAAAAGAACAGCAAGAACCTGTAATGCTAGCTACTCAGAAGGCTGAGGTAGAAGGGTCACAAGTCGATGTCTGCCTGCTCAACAGAGAGGCCCTTTCTCAAAATGAAGCTCATGGGGCTGGGGTCTTAGCTCAGTGGTTCTGCTACCTGCCTCGGTACCAAATTAATAATAATAATAATAATAATAATAATAATTTTTAATGAAGCTCAAAACACTCTGGAGACACCCAAGACCAACTTATCTATACTGTTTAGAGATAGACAAATTGATAGTTTCAACCCATTTAATATATATAGCTGGGCTTTAGCTACATGGCCAGCAGAATAAGACCCTCAGGAAACTTGTGCCTGGCGTCCCTCAGAAAATACTGTGCTCCACCATCTCAGTGGCTGCCAACCAAGGCAAACATGTCCACCCATGTGAATGAAAAGGATGTTGGGGCAGAAGTGCTCAAGGACTGTGTGCACTTTCTCTGCCTTGATGTACGCTCCTTTACCCTTCATTAAAGTCTGTGTGAGCACGCAGGGGAGGGGCCTGTGCAATCTTGAGTCCTGTCCATAGCTGACCCTGTTTAGTCACGTCAGTCTCCTCTTCTCCACACACACACACACACACACACACACACACACACACAGCTTTCCTTCCCTCTAGTGAACAGGAAAGGATCATGGAGATGCTTGGCTTTGCTCTGCCCTCCTCCCTCTGGAAGGCACTTCTGCCCAGCCAAGCACAAATGCCTCTGCGCTTCTCCAGAGGAAGTTCTGCTCTTGTACAGCAGTGACAGCAAAGGCGAGATCTGGCCACTACTGCGGTTCACAGCTACTGAAAAACATCTACCTTGAAGAGAAATCAATACAATATTTAAGAAGGATTTATCGAAAAGCCAAAGCAAATTAAATTGCTTACGTATTCCTTTCCAAGTGAATAATATGTTTTTTTCCTTGGGCTTGAATGACATAAGATACCTAAATGTAGAGAAGGGGGAAAAAAAATAACATTATCATATAAATTACTTTTCAACAAAATGTCATTTAGAAGACACAAAATTCAATTCTGAATTAAAATAATTTAGTACTGACTATAGTACATTTATAGAAATTTGTAACCATTCTTAACTAATAATCACCCAAGTATTTATCTACTCTTAAATTCATTTCTAACTCAGTTATAACTTCAGAGAAGAGTTCACTCTTGTATTGTCTACAGGGCAAAGCAGTTCTTTCTTTTGTTTAAATGAAATGAACTTCTTAGCTTCAAAAGATTACTCCTAGTTCTAGTTTCTCAAAAGTAGAAAAGAAATCCATATTTTTAAGATACTACAGCTTTCCACAGCCCACCTCGCCTCATCCATTCTAAAACACAGTCGCTGTGACGTCCCTGGGGTGAGGATGCACCACACAAAGGCACAGCAATCTAAATGGCCACAGTTTCAGGTTTTGTCGTTCTTGTGGTTTGAGTTTTTCTGTTTGTTTTTCAGGACTGAAGAGTAACCCCAGGGCCTTTGCAATTTGCACTAAGCAGCATCCTCAGTCTTTTGTTTGAGTCAGAGTATTAGTCAAAGTTGTGATCTTCCTGCATCACCCTTCCTGAGGGCTGGGGCTACAGGAAAGTGCTGCCATTCCTAGCTCAACACTTCTATTTGTCAGAGATACATAAAATAATACAGTGCCTTACAACTGACAGCATCTTATAATCAATGAATTAAGACAAGGCAACTTACACTTCCACATCTTTAAGCTCATGGGACCTGCTTTTCAACATCTAACAATGAAACAATTTCTCCAGTGACATAGTTTGGATCTTCATCGTGCCCAAAAGGCCCACGTATACAAGCCTGGTCCAAAGAGTGGCACTGTGGAAGGTGCTATGGACTTGCAGGAAGTCAAGGACCTTACGTCACTGGACACATGCAATTTGAAAGGACTGTAGGACCCATTCCCTTCCTCTTCTGGTTTTTGAGGTGAGCAGTTCCACCTCACTACAGGCCCCAAACCATGGAGCCAATCCATCATGGACCAGAACCTCCAAAACTATGATCCAAAATAAGCCTTTCCTCTTTATAAGTCAGTTAATTCATTATAGTGATGGAACGCTAACATACCCAGCAACTCGCCATTTCATTAGATTCGACCTGTTCTTAACTCTAATAAAAAAGAAAGTCATGAAGGGACTCAACAAATAATATTATCAGAAGCACTTACTTGATTTCCCCTACTGTTCTCAGGGTCTAAGTTAACATTTTGTCAAGAAGTAACATGATCTCCTCTACAGGGGAACATTAACCGAGGGCTTTTAAAGACTAGATCCTGGGCCAGGAATTTAGCTCGGCGGTTCTGGTGCTTGCCTCACAAGCACAAGGGCCCAAGTTCAATCCCCAGTAACAAAAAAATAAATAAATAATTTTTAAAAAAATAAAAGGATCCTGGCACCCTAGTTCTGTTGACAGAACTCTTCTATCCACCTCAATGCTGCACCCAGACCTCAAACATACCAAGCTCCTAAATAAAGGCATTTAACATATTACTCTTCTCCAGTGTCAGTGAAGATACAGTATAAAATATCCTACCTATCACAGTCTGAGTGGGGTTACTTCTTGTTATTAAGTAAAACCACTGTGATCATTGCTGATCAGTTAAGGGTTAGAAATCTATGCAATTATCAGCATCCTAACCAGATCACAGAATTCTACTTATTTCATCCTGTTATGTTTTAAGGTGATTACTTTGTCTTTTAAAAAACATACAAAGGCTCAAAATATTGCTTTAACTACAACAATGTCTAGTGGGCATCAGGACCACATGGTGCCATGCTAAACGACTGACTACGCCCTAAAATACGCACTCCTGAAAATACACCTTTGCTTCAAAGAACAATGTTAATACCTACAAAGGTCCCCAAGAGACAACTAACCTGTTTTGAATAGGGCCTTGGGGCTTCTCTTCGATCTCTAGTTAATCTCCAGGGAGTTATAATTTCATAAGAGAGGTGTGAGGTCTGTTGAAAGCCTACAGAAAAAGGAATTAATAATACGATATAACAAGTGAACCTAAAAAACTACATAATGCCAAAATGTAACAGAAATCAAAAGTTGAAAGTTCAAATCACTGAAAAAACATCTGACATTCCCATATTAAAAAAATATCCATAGCCAAGTATAGCAGTGCACAACGATAATCCTAACTACTCAAGAAGCTGAGGCAGGAGAATCACAAGATTGAAGCCAGCCTGACCAAATTAACAAGACCCCGTCTCAAAAAAAGTTTTTGAATGGATTGGAGGAGTGGCTCAGTGGTGGAATATATGCATGAAGTCTTTAGTTCAATCTCCAGTGCGATTTAAAATACACGGGCCGGGGATGCAGCTCAGTCGCAACACACCTGCCTGGCAAGCACAAGGTCCTGAGTTCGATCCCCAGTACGACAAAAAATAAAATAAAGTAAAATACAGTGGACTCCTGATTTATGCACTCAATTCTGTCCTGAGGGCTGGTTGTAACTCAAGTTGATCGTCTGAAGACCAATGCTCCTCTACGCAGCCTTCAAAGTCTCTCTCCTGTGTACAGGCAGATCACAGGGTCGTTAGAGACACTGACCCAGGATTTCTCAAACAACCCTGCACAGGAAAGGATGTTGTAACGTCGCTGCCAGAACTCTTTGAAGAGCTAAATCTGTATCTGATACCCTCTGGAAGTAGAAGTGGCCAGCATTCAGGTTGTAACTCAAGACTTTATTCATAAGTGAAAACTAAAATTCTGGTTGTAACCCAAGCTGCTCCTATATCAGGCCGGCAGTAACTGAAGGGTCTATAATACAAATAATTTTTGCACTAAAATGACAAAATAACAATGTACCAGGTAAGTATAGGTGGGATAAAAGTTCCTAAAAAAGAATGTTAGTCATTATCCAAACATTTTATACATAGCAATCATTTCCAAAGTCTAATACACAGGTCTCAATAAGTCCAACACAATCATTTCCTTCCATCATCATTACCAATGGCCTAACAATTCTTTCAATGAATTTGATGACATAGATGGTCACCATCCAAGGACCAGATGAAAAAAAACACATCTCTATAAAACCACATCCAGTGCAAGGAAGCTTGAGAATGACATACACAAAGTGAAAGAGTAAGGGAAGAACAGAGTCACATCTTTCACTCAGTTTCTTCTACAAATAAATGCCACCAAATCAGGGAAGTGAAAACTTTGGTACATTAAAAGAACTTTACAACCTAATGCATTGTATGGACCTGTTAAAATAAGACAAGTGAACAATAAAATCTGTAATAATCCAGGAAACTTCTGACACTGTGTTGATATTTGATGATCTTGAGGAGTTACTACTAATATTTTTAGTGTAATAGGCACATTGTTGCTGAGTTTATGTCCTTAGAGATTCCTTCTGAATATTCAATAACAAAAATAATATGTCTAGGATATACATTAAAATATCTAGTGTGTTTGAGGAAATAGACATATACAAACAAAGGATTAAAACTGGACACTGGGAGCAGGGCGTGGTGGCACATGCCTCTTCTAAGCCCAACACCTGGGAGAAATTACGCAGTCACAAGTTAGTTCAAGGCCATCCAGGGCTATAAAGTGAGACCTTGTTTCAAAAAACAAAACCAAAAAAGACTTGTGTATGTTTTAAAACTATAACAAAAATAATTATTTTAAGTGGTTTTACATATAGGGTATGGGACGAAAGACTTTATGCAACTCTGTGTAATATAAAATACTACAACTACATCAAACAATAAATGAGTATTAAATGTGTCATAAAAAAAAAATCAAACAATAAGTAAATGACCAAATGAACAGAGTAAGTAAATGAACCAAACTGTTGTTGTTTTTATTTTCTTGTTGTTAAGACAGAGCTTTGATATACAGTTCAGGCTGATCTTGAACATACTATTCAGCCCAGGCTGGCATGGAACTCAACAGCAATCCACCTGCCTCAGTTTCTAGAGCACTGGGATTACAGTTGTGCCATCACACCTGGCTGTACCAAATTGTTTAAAGCCTGTACTATAGTAGAATGGAGCTAGAGTAATGTTTCCTATACTTCTGTAACTCTGTAGTGTTTGTTTTGGCACCACTGTATTACTTTTGAAATTAAAAGGGGAAAAAAAGTGTTTCTTCAATGAAAATTATATAAAATGTTTTTAAAGCACTAATTATCTAGAATCTCTCCCAAAAGGTGCGGCCCTTCTCTCAAGGCCCCACATCCTATTATTTGTGAGGGTATACCTGTTTAATTTTACCTAATTAGTAAACCTTTCTAATGTCTCTTCAAAAAAAATCCTTTATATCTTTTTTTTTCTTTCTTTCAGTGCTGGGATCAAACCCAGGGACTCAAAACTGCCAAGGAAAGACCTACCCGAGTCACACTACCATGCCTCTAGCACTCTTACTAATCTCATATCCAGGCTACTATCACAGTTTTGACCTAGTGCGCCCACTCCTCCTCCTCTGATCCATCTGTATGTCCATTCACTCATTAAATTGCTTTATGCTCTTCAGATTTCTCAAGCACAGATTAAGATGAAATATTTACATCTAACTTTTTCCAATACTATATGTGAAAATAGTCACAACCCTGTCTCGTTTAGAATTTAAAAGATACAGACAGGAAAACATAAATTATAGGGCCAGGGAGTTAGCTCAATGGTTCCACCACCTGCCTCACAAGCACAAGGTCCTTCCTGAGTTCGATCCCCAGGACCCAAAAAAGAAAAAAAAATTATATATATATATATATATAAAATAACATATTAAAATACATGTCATGCTGTCTTACCTTCCTATCGCTGATACACCCATAACTCTAAGGAAGAAAGTTTTACTTTGGCTCACAGAATGTAGAGGCTTCAGTCTATAGCTGGCTGGTTCCAAGACAGGGCAGCAAGGCAGAGGGGTGCAGCAGAGGAGAAACAGCTCAAGGCAGGGCAGCAAGAAGCAGAGATAAAGGGAGCAGGGAGGGAAATACAGCCTTCCAGGTCACGCCCCAGGGACCCACCTCCTCTAACCAACCAGTTACCTACAAATCCATCAGTGGACGAACTCCTGACAAGTCTCACGCCCCATGACCCAGTCGCCTTCCAAGAGCCCCACAGAGGAACACATGAGGCTTTGGAGATATAAACCATAACACGTTAACAGTTTCAAACTCTTAACCCATCAACCCCTTATGGCATATTATACTGTCTAAATGTTCTTCATATCATTAAAACGCTAAAACTGGACTCCATAACTCACAAAAGTACCCACAGGCTGATTCGAGGCACATTTATGAGATGCCATGATCAAATGTCACTCAGATATTTGGGATTAAGAACCATGAACCACGTCAAAAGAAATCTGTGACATTAATAGATGCACAAACCACAAGGCAGAAATATTATAACCCTAAATTAGGTGACATTTTCAGTTTTCTTGAGTTCCTAAAAACTAAAAAGTTTAAATATTATTCTTTTTTTGCAGAAAATGGTATTACCAGTCATACTTGATGTCAACAAGATGCTACAACTACCAAAAGAAATGCACACATTGCAATCTCACTGCAAACAAACAGAACCCCATTCACTAAAAACATAATTCAAATTACCCCAAAAAGCAACTAAATGTTTTAAACATCTTTACACACCCAGCCAACAAATTAAAACAATTAACAAGAAAAAAATACGAATTCAGAAGTCTAGTATTAATGTTTTAAAAAGGCAACTGCCTGGACCACGGATTTAGCTCAGTGGTTCCACCACCTGTCTTACAAGCACAAGGTCCTGAGTTTAATCCCCAATACAAAAAAAAAAGATACAAAAAGAAACCAAAAAACTGCTTAAGCATTTCTACAGATCTGAACATCAATCTCTCAGCCACTCAGTTTCATCCCACTTGTCACCCAGCAGGCTCTCTCCACCTCTGGTGACCCAAACTCAACTGCACCACACCCTTGGACTTGCTGTGCTCCATCTTCACATCAGCATACAGCACATGGTCACGTTCACTGCATTTGTCCATTAGCATCTTCCGTGTAAAATCAAATGGAAGATTTCAAAGAAATGTCTGGCAGGCCTTCCTGGCCACCTCAGGAGTGCAGCCTCCTAGTCTGCCAAAGGAACCGGTGAAGCTTCTTCCAAAGTTTCCATTTGCATCTGGGTGCAGTTGAAGCTGGCACCACCTCTGCCACCCACAGCCAGGCCCCTGGACTCAATGCTAGCACCTAGAGAAGGGCCCACGGCCTCCAGGCTGTTGGCACCCATCCATCCCACTTGAGGCTGGTGGCTGTGCAATCCATCCATCACTGGACCATTTGCTCCAGGACAGCCTCCATGCCGGCGGGCACCATGCACTCACAGTGCTCGGGCCCATGTGCTCAGTGGTTTGGACCACACGGTATGTTCCAGGCCGAAGTCCACGGTGAGACCCAGCACTCCACGCCACAGCTGATCTGCTGCATGGTTTAGCCCATCAGCGCAATGCTGGAGGCCATGTGGCTGAGGCCCAGAGGGCCCCTGCACTCGATGCCAGAGCCCATATGGTCCATGACCAGGAAGATGTGCTCAGTGTCAGGGTGCACATGACCCATGCCCTGGCCCAGGCGTGTCCATGCGCTCCATGCTGGCACCCCCAGTGCGGTCAATGCCAGGGCCCATCCTCTCAATCCCAGGGAAGCTGCCTCCACCTCCACCTCCTCCCCGCTTTGCAACGATCTCTCTCTTCACTACATTATTCAGGATTTCGTTTATCCCACCCATGTTCATCCCAGATCCAAATCACCATGTTTTCCATGCCACCACCAAAGGGGGCCCTCAATGCCCCCTTTTTTTTTTTCGTCATTGAGTTTATTGGTACATTTTAGGTGTACAGTAAAGTTACATTCATTATTGGGATCTTGTACCTTTCGATGACAGGTCTTGGTTCTCATTTTTTCCCCATACCCCTGCCCTCCCTTCACCCCCTCCTCCCTTCCCTATTTACAAATACTGTATTTCCATTTTTTCATTTTCTCGTGTTTTTTTTCTTTTCCCTTATTTTCATTCCCCTACCCTTCCCACTTCCCCTACACCTCTAGCTCTTTTCTTCCTATTTCATAGTGTCAATTATGCCATTAGGATCCTATGTACCATTATAGTTTTTCAACGCCTTTTTATTCCAACTCCTATGCCTTCCATTCCCATTCCCGCAGTCCCTAGGTTTCCCATCCCAATGCCTTTGTTCAGGTGATCGGCATCAATAGGCTGCCATCCTGGTCTCAACCCCAGGCCAATCCATTAAGTCCATAGGAAAGTTGCTGTAGACTTTCAGAAGGGGGCAAAAAACTCCCTTTGATAAGGCCCTCTCGTGCATTAGTCTATCAAACAGCAGCTGTCTGCTAAACACAGATATAGCTTGCACAGCTTCAGTGGACTGTTCAAAAGTCACAGTGCCTGTCCCACAAGTTTTCCCATCTTTATCCTTCAGAATGTCTGCTTGGAATACCACACCAGCCATACTAAATACTTCCCTTAGTTTCTTCTTTATAATCCAGATTTGCTACAAATACTGTGCTTCCGAGTCTTCCAGCCTTTTGCATTGCTCTCCTGGCATGTTCACCATCAGGATTTTCTTTGACTTTCAGTGGTCTTCCACTTAGACTATGCTTCTTTAGAACTTCAGCAGCTTTTCTTGTGCTTTCTTCTGGCACTCCCTTGACTTTTTGAGTCCATTAAGAGCCCCACAAGTTTGATTCTATTGTTGTTGCTGATTATATCACTTAGGCTAGTAGTGAGATTGAACTAATCAGTTATCTTTCCTGGCATAATGAAATGAGTTTGCCCCAGAGTTACTAGAGACTCAAATCCTAAAGACCAGGTATATCTGGAAGACAGCTCTGAGAAACAATCATTCCTTAAGGTGTCTAAATACAAGTAACAAAGACACTTACAATAAGTAATATCTAAGTATCAACCCAGAAATTAACCAAGGACCACACAAACAACAATAGAAATGAAAAGACATTTAAACAAGAGACAATCTTTTGGCTTACCAAAGGCAAATTCTGGAGAAAACAAGATGGAAAAGTCTGGTAATCAACTACCTAGACAATCTGAACTGATAAGCACAGGAAGTAAGAGGTGAACAGGGCTCTAGAAATATTCAAAATGTAAATACTTTTCAGATAAAACACATGATTAGAGACTCTAGAAAAGAAAAAGATAAAAAAAAAAATAGATGAGTTCAGGACCATGATGGAAGCCATGAATGCTCAGCATGTGAAAGAAATGGAAATCATGAAGGCCCAACATAAGAAATGGAATCCATGAAACAGATTCAAACTGATATCCAGAAGATTAGAAACTCTATTAAAAGTATACATAACAGGGCTGGAGATTTAGCTCAGTGTTTCTGCTGCCTGCCTGCCTCACAAGCACAAGGTCCCAAGTTCAATTTCCCATACCAAAAAAAACAGGTATACATAGCAGACTAACCCAATCTGAAGACAGATATAGAAGACAGGATGGCAGTCAGTGTCCATGAAAAGAGAGATCTCTTAAAAATAAGGAAACATGAGAAATCAATCCGCTCTTAGAAGATGCAAAGAAAAATAATATAAAATTAATAATCCATGAAAGGGTTGGGGATTTGGCTCAATGGTTCTGCCGCCTGCCTCACAAGTGCAAAGATCAGAGTTCGATCCCCGGTACCAAAAAAAAAAAGTTAATAATAATAATAATAATAATAATCCACGAAAAAGGGGGAGAAAGCACAAATGATATTTAAAAAACTATTCACAGAATTAATAATAGAAAACTTCCCAAACAGAGCAAAAGAACTGGACATACAGATAAGTGAGGCATATAGGACACTAACTAGTTATAATATCTACACCCAGACATATAATAAAGATCCCAGAAACATAACAAAAGTACAAAATACTACAAGCAGTTAGAGAAAAGAAACAGATTACATGCAAAGCAAAGCCCATCAGAATCACAACAGACTTTTCATCACAAACCCTCATGAGAGTCAAGGAGAGCCTGGAGTGAAGTATTTTAAGCTTTAAAAGAAAACAACCTCCAACCTGGCTGATATATCCTGCAACACTCTTTCTAAATTGATGGAGAAATAAGATATTTTCATGACAAAGAATACCTGAGAAACTTCATGAATGCCAAACCAGCACTCCAAACAATTTTTTTAAATATCCTAGAAAAAGACAATAAAGGTCACAACTCCATGAGGCCCAAGAGAGCAAATCCAATAGGCAAGAATTTAAAGGGAGAGGGAGAAAAATAAACAAGAACCAACAACAGGAAAATAACTATCGACAGTAAGTCAATACATATCAGTTACAACCATCAATGTCAATGGCCTCAATTCACCAAACAAAAGAAACAGACTGGCAGAAGGGATTAAGAAGCAAAATCCAACTCTAAACTGTATAAAAGAAACACACTTACTTGAAAAAGAAACTCATAGACTGAAAGTAAAAGAATGGAAAACAGTTCTCCATGGAACAGGAACCCAGAACAAAGTAGAGGTAGCTATCTTATTTGCAGACAAAGTGAATTTCAAACGAAAACTAACTGAGAGACAAAGAAGGTCACTACATCCTTGTACAGGGAACAATCCAACAGGAAGAGATGATAATCATAAATATATATGCACCAAACACTAATGCCCCCAACTATACCAAACAATTATTAAGGGACATGAAACACCAAATAAGCACTAATACAATTTTAGTGGGGGACCTCAATACCTCATTGTCATGAATAGATCATCTAGACTAAAAATCAACAACAAAATACTAGAAATGAACCAAGCTTTTGAATAAATGGACTTAACAGTTATCTACAGTGTTCCACCCCACAAAGTCAAAATATATATTCTTTTCGGCTGCACACGGGTCATTTTCCAAAATAGACCGCATGCTAGCTCAAGAACATGTTTAAGTAAATGCAAAGGAATTGAAGTTATCCTATGTACATTATCAGACCATAGTGCAATTAAACTGGAGATCAATAGCATAAGAAACCCTAAGAACTTCACAAACACATGGAAATTGAATAATACTCTCCCGAACAACCAATGGGTCACAGCAGAAATTAAAGTACAAATTAGAGTTTTTAAAATTTAATGACAATGCCAGTACAACATACAGGACTCTATGGGATACAATGAAAGCAGTTTTACATGGGAAATTCATAGCAGTGAATGACCACACTAGGAAAACAGAGTGAGCTCAAATAAACAACCTAATGATGAATCTTAAACTCCTAGAAAAAGAAAAGCAAGAAAAACCCAAAGCTCGAACGAGGGAGGAAATTATAAAGATCAGAGCAGAAATCAATGCAATGGAGACTAAGAAAATGATACAAAAAATCAAGAGATGGTTTTTTGAAAGAATACAATTGATAAACCCTTGCCAACCTTATTAAAAAAGAGAGAGAGAAAAAAAAAAGGCTGAAATCCATGCAATTAGGAATGAAAAATGTGAAGTAACAACAAATCGACCAGAAATCCAGAGGATCAATACCTACTTCAAAAACCTGAACTCTAATAAAATGAAAAACAGAGGAAATGGACAGATTTCTAGATACATAGGAATTTCCCAAGTTGAAGGAAGAAGATATAAAAAGTCTAAACACCCCAATTACATTCAGTGAAATTGAAAATGTAATTGAAACATTACCAACAAAGAAAAGCCCAGGTCCTGAGGGCTTCACTGCTGAATTCTATAAGACATTTAGAGAAGAACTATCACCACTACTCCTTAAACTCTTCAATGAATTGAAAGGGAAGCAATACATCCAAATTCATTCCAGGAAGGGTTACTTTGATTCCAAAACCAGGGAAAGACCTAACCAAAAAAAAAAAAAAGAGAACTACAGGCCAATCTCCCTAATGAACATAGATGCAAAAATCCTCAATAAGATACTGGCAAACACATTACAGAAGATCATCAAGATCATACACCCTAACCAAGCTGAATTATCCCAGGGATGCAAGAATGGTTCGACATATGCAAATCAATAAATGTA